AATCTTGGTCATCCAGGCATGCTGGCACACCCTTGTAATCCTAGGACTCAGGAGGCTGAGACAGAAGGATCTAGTGTCTGAGACCACTTGTGCCTACCCTGTCTCAAAAAACAAAGGCAAAAACAAACCAAAAAAAGCAAATAAAAAGTTCTTCATCGGTTTGTCAGAAATTTACTCTTATTTTTAAATTTTAATTTTGTATTTGCTTTATTATTAAAGAATTGCTTGTGTTTCCTTATCGAATCACCACTTATTTCCTCATCTGTAATAAGCTACTACTTCTGTGCCTAGCATTTGTAAGGAGTCTTAATATAAATATGTAGAGGCTGTTTATATATTAAGGCTACTGGCATTTGCGGCAGTGTTCTCCCCTAGTTTTTGGTTTATTTCTCCTTCCTACCCTTTTCTAGATAAAAATCTGAGAAATGTTTTGTTTATACCTGAGGTTGAGCCCAGAGCTTTTGCCGTGAGCTACATCCACGGCCCTTGTCTTTTATTCTGAGACAGGGTCTCTCTGTGTCACTGTGTCCCTCAGGCTCGGCTCAAACTTGTGATTGTCCTGCTTCAGTCTCCTGAGTGCTGGGATTGCAAGTGTGTGTCATCCTGCCCGGCTTCCTGCCCCAGGTTTAAAGCAACAGTGAAGGGCCAGGCATACTGGTGTGTGCCTGTAATCCCAGCAGTGGGGAGGCAGAAACAGGAGGATTGCTGCAAATTTGAGGCCAGCTGGAGCTATATAGTGAGTTCAAGGCCTGTGTGAACTGCATAGTAAGACCCTGTCTCAAAAAGACAAAAAATAAAGTAATAACAAACCAGCAGATATTTTAGGTTGCTGATTCGTGTGGCTATCAGATAACTCCTTGTGGATCATGAGTCCTTGTTACGTGGGGGCCTGGTGCCCTGTTGCTAGGATGGGCTCGGGTAGGGAGCCACGGTGGTCAATAACAAGAGGCTGGACTGTTCTCGGGTGGCTGGAGCTCAGTCCTGGCTTCCCCGCCCCTGAGACACACGGCTGGGTGGAGGCGCTTTGTTTGCCTGAGCTCTGGCTTACTTGTGTGTAGAACAGAAGTTTAACTTTCTCTCAGTGGTAACAGGAAGATTAGATGAGACAGTGATTACAAAAGTGCCTGGGCTGAGAATGTCGCTCAGTGGTAGAGCACCTGCCTAAGAATTCACAAGGCCTAGATTTGATCCCCAGCATCAAAAATAGAACAAAAGAAAGCAAAGTACGCGGCTAGAGCGGCACCCAGTGGTTGTTCAACATCAGTTCCCATTGCCTTCCCTCCCCTGGGGTCAGACCTACACGCTGCAGGTGATCCCTTCCACTTCTAAAAAACTTTTAAAGCTGCATGTTCTGGCTCTTGCCTGCACTCTGGGAGGCTGAGGCAGGAATATTGCAAGTTTGAGCCCAACCTGGGCAATTTAGTAACTTAGCAAAAAGTTGTGAAAGAGGGTAAGTAATGTGTGCCGAACCAGCAGCTGCAGTAACCACAGTTTCAGCTTCAGCTCTACAACGTTTCCCTTGGCCAAAAACGCATTAGGTCCTCTTCTAGTTCCAAGCATTCAGCACACCGCGGCAAGGCAAAGCCACCAGAAGCATACACCTGATTTCCGTGCCCGATATGGCAATGCTGCACGAGGCGGTGGAGCGCACTATGTGTTACTATACAGACCTACGCAGCAACACACACTGGGATAGAACGGAACTTTCCCCTGTTAGCTGAGTCTCCCAGAGGGATGGAGAGATGGAAATCATGCCAGCTGATGGAATACGAAATTGTTTCAAAATCAAATCAGAATTGACACCAAGTAAAAGCACTGTGTATCCACTAAAATTGGTATATTAAAGCAATAAAGTACAATGGAAACCTTAAAAAAAAATTTTTTTAAAGGCTAAGGATATAGCTCAGAGTGAAAGACCTGGACTAAATCCCCAGACCTAAAAAAAAAATTTTTTTAAACACTCAACAGCTGATATCTAGCTGGGTGGGGTGGCACACAACTGTAATCTCAGCACTCAAAAGGCTGAGGCAGGAGAATCTGAGTTTCTAGGTCAGCCTGGGCAATTTAGTAAGATCCTGACCTCAAAAAATGAAAAGGGCCGGGATATAGCTCAGTGCAGAGGTGCTGGGTTTAATCCCCAGAACCACCAAACAAAAACAAACTGAGGAAGAAAAAAGGTAGGGGAAGGGGAAAAAAAGAATTTGGACCCAGCCTAACGCGGCTCTCCGCGGGATCCCGGCGCGGAACGGTGAGCAGGGACGCGGACCGCAGCGGGCGGAACGCGACCTGAGCGGCCCCACTGTCAGTCACCTGCAGACGTGTGCGGGTTACCCCCCGGCACGCCGCCTGGGCCCCGCAAGCGAGTGCGCGGCTCAGAGCGGACCCCGACCCCAGGGAAAGCCCCAGCCCCCGGGCCGATCTTCGGGACGCCCGCCCGGGCCGCGGCTGCGAG